GTAAGGCCTGCCTCTGAGTGCAAGTAATTCTAGGATTACAACAAACTGTGCTGTTGATCTTTGCTTATTTTATCAAGGATAGGGCCTAGTGTTATCTGCTTATTTAGAAAAGAAAGATTCCAAATATTTATTTAATTACTGCTTGCCAGAGAGAATTCCAGGGCCTCTGGGGCCACTCTGTGACATTGTTCTTCGCAGACTGCTTCCAGGTAGAATTGGAACACAACTCAATTATGTTTAACTATGATGAGGTGGTGAAGTGTGTAGTAAATATTATTGTTTCATTAGCAGCTCTGCATTTAATTTAGATATGTATTTCTGCACAAATGAGAAAATATTGCACTCTTTAATGATAGTACTATGCCATGTAATAATTCTGGTTTGTACCCCAGCCCAGACACTCTGACAGCATGGGCCTACCCTGCAAAGCGCTCAACCCCTGAGGTAGGGAGGGGAAGACAAAATGAAATGGATGTATTGGGAGCACATCTCAGACAGCCTTTAGGTGTTTGTTGGCAGAAGGAAATATCTTTTCTGTTTCTCTCCTTGGCATGGGTCACAGCACCTGCAGACAGTTTGTAGCCAGACTTCTGCCTGCTCTCTCTTCCTCCTCATCCATAGACAATGTGATGACCAAGCAAGGCCAGTGACTGTTGATCCAGAACTCTGTATTGGAAGGAAACAGTTACCTTTCAAACTGCAATGCCTTTGCTTTTTCTGTCCTTACAGTGGCCTGGGAGCTGCCTCTTCAGAGCTGATAAACTCCCTCTCGAAGCTGTTGCATCAGGCATCTGAAAACATCACACCAATTACCTGAGCACTGTTTTTTTTAGCATCATGATTTTATCAAAAGAAAATTTAAATTCTCTTCATGCACTGCTCTTTCTCCTTTGATAACAACACCCCATTTGCAATTGTAGTGTGGTTCAAACAAAGAATTTCTGAGAGCAGGAAGGTTTTTGCATACGGTTTGTATCTTACAGAAGCTAGACAAAAGCAGCAGCCTAAATCCCTAAACAGGGTAGATCACAATAAGGAGAACTTATTTGTGATAAGTCAGTGCTGCATCCCAACTACTTCTACGCTGACAACTCCAAAGCAAAATTCACATTGCTTTTGGGGATGTTCCCAGGATCTTAGAGCCTGGTACAACATGAGGAGCGATCTTCATGATGGTTTTTGAGTGAACTGGTTGACTTTTAGCTTTCCCTAACATTGTCATAGCTCCCTGGAAGTCACCAGACAGCTGCAGGAGGACACATGGTGTGGCCTGTTGTGGCTTGGAAATGATGACCAAGACTGACTGACTGCATCATCATGTGCCACACCGTTATTTATGTGCAGTAGCCATGCTTCTATGCATGGTATTGTACCAACATGTAAAACAGTATCACTCAGAAAATGTTAGTTGTAACACTTTATACAAGCTTAATTTCTCTCCCAGAGGTAGCTGTGATTGTGTCTAATTTATGTCCTAGTTTACCAGCTTGTTCTTCTCTCAGTCATGGCTCTTGGACACAGAAAGGAAAATGTCAGCTTTGCAGTAACTTTGTTATGTGAAATCCACCACTAAGCAATAAAACAGTACTTTCCACTTTCTTCTCCAATTGGTCAAATGCCTGTTTCTTTTAGGTTTTAATTAAAAGTTCCCTTATTAATCAAGCTGTTAATGTGTACTGCTGTTGATAATTGTTGAGCAGAGCATGGTAGGCACAGGAATTCACTTGTGTGTAGGGAGATTACAAAACAATTTGTAGGGATGCCACTGGCAATCTTAGCACCTCATAGCACACAGTTTGTCATACAGTACTTAGACCAGTGGTCCATCAAATCCAATCCCTTGCCTCCAGTATTGCACAAGATGTGCTGGTGTACTTTATTTACTCTGTTCAAAAACATTAACACTCTTCAACAAAAATGTCTTACAAGACAGAAATGAAAACAGCCATAGTGGTAATACATGAGAACATATATTTCCTTCCCACCCACATGGAATTCTCTAGTCAACAGACTTACTAAAAACTCTTCATCCCAATGCCAGTCCTCCTACCCTTTGGCTTCCCTTGAACATCTGTTGAAACAGATATCTCTTGGACCATATCCAGTCAGATAGGCACACTGTGATCACAAAGATTGGCATATTTCAAAAGTGAACATGCCACGAATATCCTGGCAGTAGGCTTCTCTCTTCCAGTTACATCCTACAGGTGATGGTAGTTGTAGTGAAATAATACAGGAAGAGAAGTGACTTCTTAACAGGAATGGAAGATGTAAGTTGGGCTTTATATATCAAAGTCTTAATCTTATAATACTTGTATACTCACACAGTGAAATAGGAAATGGTGGAACTATATGCTATCCACTTACATTGTGTGGCTCACATTTTCCGCAGGACTTCATCCAGTCTTTTTCTGCTTGGGTGTCTCATTATAGCTACTGGTTCTGACCTGAAATAAACCATATGCACTAGTATTAGGAATTAAAAGCCTTAAAAAAATCTCTTGGACCTGCTACTTATTTGAGCCACAAAAGGGGAGCTGCCAAGTTGCTCTCATAAATATCAAAAAGTTAAATCTGGTATGGAAATAAGAGCCAGAGTGATTAAGAATTGATTTGCAAGGCAAGGATTACAAACTTGTTTGTTTTCTCGCACCTGCTCTCCACTTCAGCAGTACAATAGAGCAAGGCGTATCTAATGCACCTTTCCCCTAATTGGGTAATGCACTCAAGGGAATATGATCAACTGAGGCTTTTAAGATCACACCACCATTTGCCCAATTATACCTAATGACAACACATTGTTCCTGCAAAATGCGTCTTTATTCCTTGGTAGGTTACATTTCCTTTCAGCCTTTACCTATCGATCCAGCAGTACCTCATGTAGAACAAACTTCTTTGTTGGCAAGTCTTGTTTATGAGACCAGAAAAATCTTTTATGTCATCTTCTCAATGACTGACCAAGTCAGTGAGAGAAAAAGCCTGTTGTATGGAGCATGACAAATTTTAGCTATCTTTGTAAAACAAAGCAATAAACAGAATGTCTGTATGATTTGGGCTATACAGATAATTCACATTCTGTGTTCACTATTTCTTTGTGTACTTGCTGCTTTGATTTCATAAAGCATCTTCAACTATGTGAAGAAGATGCCTGCACTACATAGCACTTGGAGTAAATGGTAGTTTTAATCTTGGGCACCAAGTAGGTATATACTCACTTCATTACAGAAAATGAGATTTTTGCTGGGCAAAGCTGCACCACCATGAAGCTTGAGGCATATTTACTTCACTTTTTTGGTGGGGGTGGAAGGGCTTGAAGAAAGCTGGTGAAATCATGTATCCCTAAATAAAACATTTTTGTGTCTGTCTTCTCTGAGCATTGATGAGTACAAGTACAGGCTGATGAGTAAAGGCAGGGTTGGATTCTGATTGCTCTCACAAATTGTCTCCCTAGTTATTTTTACTAGTTGTAAATTGCAACAGAAATAATACTTTTTTGCAAATGCTGAACCATTTTATAACTTCATAGTTGTCACGCTAGCTCACTACCATCATTCAGCACTTTCTAGTGGCGTTAACTTCAACCCATTGCTCTGGTCTCCAGACCCTTGCCTAAATGAAAAACAAAGTATCTTCGCTCTTTCCAAAAGTAATCCTGATTTTTGCTCGACCCTAACTGCAATGTAGTTCTGTTGTCAAGGTAATAGTTTTAGTATTGGCCAGCATACTACTTCTGTTTTCAGTGGTTCCACCCAGAGCCTGCTGTGGAATATGAGCATTCCTGTGTCACCCACGTGTTGCCTCTCCTGTCCCTTTTCCCATCTCTTCCCATAGGATAGCTGGAGCTGGTTCTATTGACTTGAGTGATCTTATTAGGTCTCTTCTTCAATTAGATGAACTTCAAGACTGAACAACAGATCCAGCCAGTAGGTCTTACAGTCAGAGAAATTATTTCTCAGGGACTGCACTGGTAGAATTAAGATCAGCGTCTGACCTAATGGGACTTACGGCTGCTCAGAATCAGCTCTGGTAGGAACTGTTTTTGGAGGAGTGAGTAGCTGTTCTGACTGTGCCATGCATGCATTAATTCCTAACTACTTCACCTCAAGCAGCCCAGCACACATGCCACTTTATCAGGTTTTGAATGTACTCTGCAGTGTAGGCTGGCATGTGCAAATGTCTCGCAAGCCTTGCTCAAGATCCTGTAGGAGCTCATTGACAGTGGATGAATGTCGAACAGCAACCCCCTTCAGTCAAAATCCCTCTTTGCTACTTATATACTGAGCTCATAGAAAGCAACAATCAAGTTGAAGAAGAGTTATTTTATTTAATGACACTTCATCTCCCCCAGCAAATAGAAATTATAGATTTTATTGCTGCTTTTGGCTTGTATGTGTTTGCGTTTTCTCATTTCTTACTACATACATGGATCTAGAACAAAAGGCCTGATGAACCTACATTTCTCAGGATGTCCCATTAAATTGATAATCTTGCACAACTCAGTTTACTCTCTAAAATCTACAACCTCATCTTTATTGTTGTCCTTCCTTCCAGCATTTCTCCTGAAGTGGTCCCTGTACAGTGGGCTCCTTCTTGTAAGAACATTCAATTTTGTTCTCACAAAGGTTCTTACCGGTAAGTTGAGCTGGGCTTTGCACTTCCCTTGTGAAGCTTGAAAGCACTGAGTCTCTGAGAAATGCAACTGAGTACACTGTGCTCACCTGCTTGAATCCATTTTGTCTCCTCCACAGACTTCATTTTCTGCATGCATCCTCAGAAACATAGCAAACCCGGCAAGCTTTACTTACATTGAAAAATGGAAACAGATTTTTTCTCTCCCGGTGTATGAGAACTGGGAGTTTAGCACTCATTGTTACAAAGGGAGAAACTCATTGTGCCATCAAATTATTCCTCCCAAGCTGTCTGTCTGAGTATTGATCCCTTGTTCCTGAGTAAGTAAACCCTACAGTTGATCGTAATTATTCTGGGACATCTCATTCCAGTGACTGGATCGATAATGCCTTTCATGGCCTCCTGCTGCATGTTCCTGTCATGCCTTGGCACCTCTGCATAACCTGCTGTTCATCAGGAGCCCAATGAAATAATTTGCTGTGGTGGTGAGAATGCTGTCAGCCACTTCACACTCATTAAGGTCTCAGCCAGGACACAACATGAAGCCTTAGATGTACAGCATTTTTAATGAACATCAGTATTAACTTCACACTGTCCCACACGTTGAGGCTGGAAGATTTCCCCTCGATGTCATGTTGTCGTGGTTTAACCCCAGCCGGCAACCAAGCCCCACAGAGCTGCTCACTCACCTCGCTCACAGTGGGATGGGGGAGAGAATCAGAAGGGTAAAAGTGAGAAAACTCATGGGTTGAGATAAAGACAGTTTAATAGGTAAAGCAAAAGCTGTGCACGCAAGCAAAGCAAAACCAGGAATTCATTCACTGCTTTCCATCGGCAGGCAGGCGTTCAGCCATCTCCAGGAAAGCAGGGCTCCATCACGCTAAGTAACGGTGACTTGGGAAGACAAACACCATCACTCCGAATGTCCCCCCTTCTTTCTTCTTCCCCCAGCTTTGTATGCTGAGCCTGACGTCCTATGGTCTGGAATATCCCTGGGATCAGTTGGGGTCAGCTGTCCCAGTTGTGTCCCCTCCCAACTCCTTGTGCCCCCGCAGCCTGCTTGCTGGTGGGGTGGGGTGAGAAGCAGAAAAGCCCTTGATTCTGTGTAAGCACTGCTCAGCAGTAACTAAAACATCCCTGTGTTACCAGCACTGTTTTCAGCACAAATCCAAAACATAGCCCCATACCAGCTACTGTGAAGAAAATTAACTCTACCCCAGCCAAAACCAGCACACATGTTAAGTCAGGCATAATGCCTATAGGATGCTTGTCATGAAGCTGCCTTTGAGCAGAAACGGGGATAAATATCCAAATTTCCCTTTTGATCCAGAGGCTCAGAGTAAACCTGTCAGGGAGCAGCAGCAAGGCCAAGGGCTCACTGAGGGATGGAGAACCAGGAGGTGAGTGGTAACAAGGCCAGCAGTGCAGGATTGTTGTGATCCCTTTTTCTTACTTCCTGCATAAAATAGGCCTCCTTCATCTTTGATTCAGATTCTGTAAATGTTGTTACAATGCCATGTCTGTTACAAGCTTGCATCTAACATGTAAATAGGGTGTACCTGGTCATTCTGTTGCTGTAATAATGGTATGACAGCTTAGAACTGTTAAGACTCATGGTTTTCCCTGCCTATATGAATTGGGCAGGTATCAATATTAAAATCACATGCTAGTCAGCCAGACAGGCTAGTTTCTTGCTGTTACATTTCCAATTACTATGTTCATCTTCCAGTTTTCATCCTATGCCCAAAAGGATCATATGGAAAGGAATTTGGGTCTAAGCAGAAAGTGGATTAAGGTTCAAAGAGGAAATGCCAAATAATGCACCCTTTCTAATTTGCATAATTTGAAATAATTTGCATAATTTGAAAAGTGGGGGAAATACTAAATTAGCAGGAGGTTTACTGGAAGAGTGCAAGATAATGTTAGACCACAAACAGTGACAATGAACAATAACTTAGAGACGCTGGGAGTAACACATTGATAAGTAAGGATTACCTGGGTAATTAAAAGCAACTTAATTACCTAGTTTTTAAAATCTTATGCCTCCTAGAGTTTCAGGCAGCCTCTTCTTGTTTTGACTGCCTGGATGAGATACTCAGATCCCATATTTTTAGAACAGAAAAACCTACTCATAACAGTAAAGTTATGTGACTTGATTTCCCACTTCATCAAACTTGTGCTTTTTATGAGCCATGCGTAAGCAATGCAGAGGCTGTGGCTCATCTGTGATGGGCAAATAATGAACAGAACGTGCAAAGATGTAGCTGCTTTGTATTAGGGGTATTGTGCATCATCTCAATGACATGAGAATTTAAAATCAGGCCATACACACCAGCAAAGCTTAACAGCGATGGGAGTTGGTGTAATGTAACTGTTGTTATTGAGCCGTTTGTGTTGACTTGTACAGATAATTTCTGTTGAAGGCCTTCCATTTAGATTTGATCTTGTTTGGCCCCTTCAAGTGACAGGGCCTAAGGTGTGGTGAGCTACACTGGTCATGGGGGAAAGTGTAAGACTCTGAGTATGTGCAGGCAAGTGAGTTACCCAAAGCAGCTAAGGTATGGACTATGCCGGCTGTTCAGTGAGTACATGCTTTTTCTGTCGTTTGTTCCTCTCCTTCCGAGAGACCCATTACCTGTATGTGCTGCAGGGCAAATAAACGTGTGTGAGCTTCTAGCACAGAGTGCTCGACCCTTCGAGTTCACTGCCTGACTCACTTCACAGTCCTTTACACAGCACAACTGAATTGGCCCCACAGGGCCTGGTCTTCCTTCCAGTTATGTAGACTTTGCAGTTGAATTTGATCTGCTTTGACTAGGCTTGCACCCAAGTACTGAAGTGGCAATAGGAGTCTGATGCAGTATCTACATGACAGACTTCTGTGCAGCTCTGCTTGTGCAGGGTGTGAAGAAAGCTTGTCTCTGCCTGGCCTTGTGGCACCAACAGAAACCTCTGGAGCTCTAGCAGTGTACCTTATTTTATTCAGGTTTATGGTAGCTTTTAAAATAAATTTAAACAAAACTACAAGAAGTTCTCTTAGCTGTATTACAAATGAGTAGTGTTCCTATGCTAGTAAAGTACTTCTAATGAACACAGAGCAAAAATTTTAAGGGACACTTGCAAGTGGATTTGTATTACATGACTTACCTGTAAGTCAAGAATTGAGCTTGACCCAACACATTGTTCCCATCCTCTGTTCTTATGAAGTTATTTTACTGCAAGCTTAATTCCACACTGGTTAATGAATCGGAGTATGTCAAAGGTAATTGTAGGTTAATGTACTGGGATTGAACTACATAATATTGCATAGCCTTTGTGTAGCAGTCTGAATAGAAGCCTGTTAAGTGCTCTAAAACTTGGTGCATCCTAGATGCTGTAAACTGAGTGAGGTTGAAAATGTGGTGGACAGCATTTTAAAAGAGGATTCTGAGCACTTCTTTATTTAGCCTAGAAATGGAACTCTCACAGCCCTTTTTTATGCTGTTGGAACAACCACTGGTGTTTCTCAAAAGCCTTTATATGAGGATCTTGTCTTTTACAAAAGCAAATTTTGTTATTGCTACTTGGAAACACAGAAAACTGAGTTACAGCAAGGTACCGTGACTTCATTCCTATCTGTAGAATGTAATTTTAATTCTGGATTAAAATATCCCAAATTCAGATGTTTCCATCCAGATCTGAACTCTATAACCTGAACTCATCACAAAGTCCAGCATCAGTTGCCTACCTCAGACCATCTTTCAGTTCACTGATACTCTATACTTCAGGGCACACAGTGTGCATAATACTGTTCTCAAGCCAGTCTTGCTCCCTTGTTCTCTCTCATACACACAGTTAAAATGGAAGACAGAAAAAAAAATAGAAAATAAGGACTTCCTGCATTCTTGCATTTATTTTTTTTCCCAGCCTGATTTGTGCTTCTAGGCAGATTGTGAATATTCAGCTCACACAGTACAGCCAAAGCAGAGCCTACACCCAGCAGTCTCTTGAAAACGAAGAGCATATTCTCTATACAAGTCTGTCCTTCACAGTCTGTTCCCTGAACCAGCTCATGTGGCCTAAATAACTCAAAGGCCTGCAGTATCCCAGTGGTGCCTGCATTTTAGCGTATAAAAAGTTCTTAGGTATTTCAGCTGAAGTTTGAAAAGAACTTTGTGATGAAAAAATAATGCAGAAAGGTATTAATGAATTAATAATAGTTAGGTTTGTTTATTGATTTCTAACTGACCTGAATGTCTCCATGTTTCCTGAATCCATCTTAGCACTAAATTGGTTTGAATAAACCCCCATTTTTACTAAGCCACCCTCGTCTGTGTCTGTAATTCAGTGTTACAAGCTTAGCTCCTTATATAGCCTTTACGTGAACATGAAGTGTGAGGCAGGAAAAACATTTTGGAGGCAAGAACAGCTGCTAACAGGACATTGCAAACAGGCAATGAAGTCCCTGTAGTCCCAGGTAAGGATGAACACAATCACTCTGAATGATGCAGTGCTGTTGGATATGTTTACAAGAGTTCAGACTAATGACTTGTGTGTTAACATTTGATTAATTCTTACTGGTCATGATGTAGCTGAGTACTGCATCAGAGGAGCAGTATGAACTCTAGGGACAGAAGCATGAACAGTGCCTACCCACTCTTTTCACTTAGGGACACCACTTGTGTCGTGGTTTAACCCCAGCCAGCAACTAAGCACCACGCAGCTGCTCAATCATTCCCCCCCCACCCAGTGGGATGGGGGAGAAAATCAGGACAAGAAGTAAAACCTGTAGGTTGAGATAAGAACAGTTTAACAGAACAGAAAAGAAGAAAGTAATAATGATAATGATAACACTAATAAAATGACAACAGCAATAATAAAAGGATTGGAATGTACAAATGATGCGCAGTGCAATTGCTCACCACCCGCTGACCAACACCCAGCTAGTCCCCGAGCGGCGAATCCCCGTCCCCACTTCCCAGTTCCTATAATAGATGGGACGTCCCATGGTATGGAATACCCTGTTGGCCACTTTGGGTCAGCTGCCCTGGCTGCGTCCTGTGCCAACTTCTTGTGCCCCTCCAGCTTTCTCGCTGGCTGGGGATGAGAAGCTGAAAAATCCTTGACTTTAGTCTAAACACTACTTAGCAACAACTGAAAACATCAGTGTTATCAACATTCTTCGCATATTGAACTCAAAACATAGCACCATACCAGCTACTAGGCAGACAGTTAACTCTATCCCAGCTGAAACCAGGACAACTTGATTAACTAGTCTGAGCCAGATGCTGTGATTTATTCCACCTGAAGATCTGGCCCATGTGGAACCCTATAACCTCTACTAGGATACAGTTGTGTTGCGTGCCCCCCCCCCCCAAATGAGTGATCTGCTCTCAAAGGTTTCATTAGTCCGCCACCTCCCTCAGTTCAGACATTCTTCCCATTTTATACAACAGAAGGATTAAACCATTTCTCTCTTGATTCTCAGACATGAGTTCAACGCAATGAAGTTTGAGTTAAAAATGCAAAACCAGGAAAAGTGCAGTAGCAGTGTGAGATAAAAATGGTGGAAATGTCTAGAATGGCTGCAGATCAGGTACTAGCTTGTTTTTTTACTGGAAATAATACTTGCATCCACTTCAAGTCCAGGATACAATTCTGTAGTAAGTAATAAAGGACCAATATG